CAGCAGGAAATCAACTGGTCAACAAGCAAGGGATTCTGAAAACCAATAAGCAAAATGAGTGCAGCCAACCTCCCTTCCTGAGGGAAGTAGACATTCAGTACCAGGAGATCCTCCTCCTATTTCAAAGGGGTTAAATTGACTGTCAGCTCCATGGGGTGACAACAACTGATGCCCCAGTCCTTTCTGCTCTCTTCATACACCTTTAGTAAAGGCTGCAGGGTGCTCCACAGAAGCCTTAGTCATTTCTAACAGTTCAGTAACTCTCCAAGGAGGGACAAGAACAGGAATATAATGCATGCTCTGAATTCAGGCATCTCTGCTCTTCGAGCACTGCCTTCAAGCCCTCTTTCCTTGTGACAAGACTCATGGGAAATGACAGATCCTTAAAAAATATGGGACCCTCATCCTTGAGACTCAGGGATGTTAAGTGGGGTCTAACAGGCAGGAGCTCAGTAAAAGGACACTGTGTGCAGAGGACTCAAGAATGCTTCCTTAAAAGTGAACGACAGCAAAATCAAAAGAACTGTCAGCCACTTGGCCTGGTTCTCCTGCATGGATCTCCCACCTGGCAGTTGCAAAGGGGAGACATTTTTCAACTGCATAGAAAATTAAATGGCTTTTGCATATTAAAAAAATACAGATGAAAACACAGTTACACCAGTCACGAAACAGTGGGCGGATGAGCAATCACCATTTCACATTAAATAGACCCAACTGTGATCTCCGTACTGCCAGACTCCCAGCACTGCAGCCTCAGAGCAGGCAGCAGACAGAATGCCTGCAAGGGGCAGGTAATGCCACACTCCCCGGAGCTGCCTTGCCCTGGCAGGAGGGCTATGGTCCCATGGAGCAGGCTGCAAGATGTCTGCTCTGTCCTGTCGCTCCTTCAGTGCTCACACATCCCAGACCAGATGGGCGCACTGGGAAACAGGCCTCCAGCTGGAAAAGGATTCCAGTTTGTGGTTTCTTTACAACGTGGTTTCCACATGTCACAGCAACAAATTGCTAGTTTCTTCCTATGGAGAACAGAAAGACAGAGGTGAGTAGCAGCAAAGAGAGAAGGCTGCCCAGCATTGGAGGTGACAGTAGGGAATGCTCTTAACATAAGTTCTGACTGTACCAGGGCCTTTCATGTCTCATGGGCAGCAAGACTCAACACAAGGCAGTTTCCTAGCACTATTCCTGGCAGAATTCAAAGATCTCACCTCCCTTCCACTCCTTCCAGCCTCCAATTTCTAGTTCCTAATCTACAGCAATAAAGACACACAATAAATCAAACTTCTCACTGACATAAGAAGTGTTTGAATGACCACTGCCAGAGGTGGTATGTTGACACATGAAATCTAAGCCCAAGTTCTCTCTCCAGCTGGAATGATACCCTGAAGAGGCACGAAGCTGACTGAGCTGCCAGCTTTTATTTGGCAGCTTTCCCCCACTGAAGTGAGGCACAATAGCTTGATTTCTTCCACCTGGCCCCTGCAATCTGCCACTAGAGTGGATTCTGCCCTGCATTTCATAGTGTTAAGTTCCTGCCAAAGGGACTACTTGCAGCCCTGCCAACAAGACTGGTATTTGAAGGACCAGAAGCGAGGGCAGTATCATCTGTGCAACAGTAGCAGGTTCCAACAGGATACATACGACTGTCTTGCACTGATTGTAGGCCTGGACTGCCCATCTTCCGGTTGGGGACTGCTTGCCAACTAATATCACACATCCCAGGTCTGGGGGAAAGGGTCTCTGCCCCATGCCTGCCATCACAGCCCAAAGGGTCAAAAGCTTTACATAACCACAAACATTTTAAGCCCCTCATCTCTCACACGGCCATCAGCATCTGAAAAAAAGGATCCTGGCTCTGGAAATGCCTACCTCCTATTTGATTTACACTTAATCAAATATTTGCATGGAGCAGAATTCATACATTCCAATTATCAGGGCTCAGCTGCAGGGCACAAACTGACAGCAACATTTTAGAACTCCTCAAAATCACCTAGTCAGGAGAAAAACCAGCTGTGGTGCCAGTTCTCAGCCTACCCTTTCCCACATCTGGCCCAGGGAAAAACGGCTGCCCAACAAGCACGGCTGCCAGGACCAGCCTAAGGGGATCAGGGCGAGTTTGTACAACACAACCACATGCTGCTTCACTAGACTTCTGCACAAAAATGCCTGTGTGGCTTTGCTAGAAGGAGGACCCAGATCTAGGCTTCAATGCATGGAGAGTACAATTACAACTCCAGAGCATCCAGATGTGGCTGTTGGTGGCTAGTGATAAGGATGAAATGGCAGGTGTCAGGGGCACACTGGCTGAACTACTTCTGCCCCTTCATGATTACAACACACCCTTCCTGCTTCATGGCACAGTGTATGTGAACACACAAGGCAGGAAACATTTCCCAGCCGGCTTCTCCTTCCGCTCTGCCGGTCACTGCCCAAGCCTGCTGTGTGGGACACAGCCAACTGTTTTGCAGTCAAGCAATTTTAAAGGCTTCACAACATCAATCCCCTCCCCAGAAAAGCCTTGGCCAACTGCCGCAAAACTCACTTGTCCAGGAACAAATCCAGGGAATCCTGCTACAGCTCATTTCAAGAGACTTTCCTCCAAGCAGGTCTGAATTAAATGGTACCAAGAACATTTTTACATTCATCATGAGATCCAAATGGTTTTTCAACACACGATCAATGGGTCCACAGAATCCTATCACCAGTGCTTCCCCTCTGGCCCGTAGCCCTGCCATTTGCAGCAACTGTTTTGCTTCATGCCTCGTTGTTGTCCTTGACCTCCAGGTTACTGCATCCACTCCAGCCATGAGGCCCCCACCTGGGAGCTGCCCCCACCCCACAGCATTTCAGAGTCCAAAGTCCCATCTATCCCCGTCAGCATGCAACTCCACAACTGGAGAGATGGGAGCACTGCAGAGCATCAGCCATGTTTTGCCTGGTGGAAAACCTTTGGCACCAGCACTGACGATTTATCTGGGAGAGGAAAGGATAAAGAAAATGTAACTTAGCATGAGCAGCAAGGTTCACAGTGCTTGTGATGAAGAACCTAAGACACACAATTTTCTCTAGGCTTCTAAATAAGGAGGGTGAGGTCCCCAAAAGTAACACAGGCCCTTTTGAGAACACAGGTTTCCTGCCAGCAGAGTGACTGGAAACTGGGACACAGTTGTTAAATTCTGTGGAAGGCAGGCTGGAGCACAGGAGGACAAGCGCACAGACTTAGCCTGACAGCACAGTACAATAAAAATGGCAGTGTCAGGTTAGAAGTGTGCTGTGCCATGTACACACGCAGGAGGACCAAATTAATAGACAGTCATGATCTGTGGCTCAGTACCAGGGCAACTACTTTGTTTCTACTATTTTGCCTCAGGTGGGCACTTCACCTTCATACCCAGCTCAACAGGCAATCACCACCAAAGCTATTCACCAGCAAGATAAGCATATTTTGAGGTGTGAGGGTACTGAACAGAGAGAACAGTAACCACTTTCAGATACTGAAGTGAAAGTAATAGGCATCCACATGCATCACTGCAGTAGGCACCAGCGAGACACTCAGCTTGCTCCTCTCAGCTCCCTGCCAAATTCCCTTGTGCCACTCCAAGAGAGAGCACGCCATGGCTGCATTTCGTTCTGCAAGAAAACCTATGCATCAAAAAAGCCACAGCACTGCCTGTTTTTGTAAGTGTTGTTCCACATTTGTTCTCACCACAACATAGGTCTGTTTTCCAAGCACATCCCCACTCTGTAGAGTGAAGGACATGTAAGCTATTGAAGAGAACAGTATAACTCTAGAGGCCAGAGAAGGACCTCCTAAGGTCTCATCCTTGTATTATCTCCTGATCTGTCCTGCTTGCTATGTGTGTCTTGCATCTACCACAACATAGCTCAGGAAACACCTCAACCCATTTTACTGTACCCCTTACCCTTGGAGCAGGCTGTCTATATCCACAAATAATTGGAACTGTTCCCAGGCTGTGAGGCTGCTAGCTTCCAGAAAAAAATGCTTAGTGAGGGTGTGTTTTACCCTTCGGAGTCTACTTTCTGGTGTCTACTGACAGGGTATTAGGGGTCTGCTTTCAGGTGTCTCACTTGGAACAAGGGCTGATCACAGTAGGAGTTGGGGGGTAAACCAAGGCAACATTAACTCGCTCGCTGCCGTTCTTGGGACAGATGATCTCCGTTAGTCCCTCTGGTCTTGGCTGACTCAGCAGTTCTCCTGCAAATAAGAGAGAATAATGAAAACATTTAAGCACCAACAAGGCAGTTTTTTGCAATTTTTGCTTTTAGTATGCTCTTCACTTTCCCAAGCAAATGTCCATGACCAATACAAGTGAGCACTGTAAGAAGGCTTACTGGTCCTGCAACCCAAGCAGGTCTCATCCATGTAACCATGGTGAACATCCTGGTGATTACAGCTTGGCGACACGCTGCTCTACACAAACATAACTTCTGTCATCTTTCCTGTCTCTGCTTTGAATCACTGCACACAGACTTGAGAGATCCTCAGGGAGTTATGGTATCTAGATGGAGCCTAATGAGATGGAGGTTTTAGGAGTAGGTGTTTTAAATAGGCTTGGGGGGCAGATGGGATCCACAAGTTTACCTTCAATCATCATGAAAGGGAAG